ACTTGTTGAACCAATATACTTAACCAACTACACACAGTTTGTACTGGTGGCTTGGGTGCACATAGGGGCCGAGGGTAGTGGAGACCAAACTAGGCCTCACCCACCTTGGTTGACAGAAGTTTAATGGCCCTAGATATGTAGCATGTTGAATTTTATATATTCTAATATATTAGGGCAGTTTGCTTTGGCCGCCTCTTAGCCTGTCCATATCACCTTAAATTTTGTTAGCCATTCGATCTTTTCATCCGATGACCCAGATTTCGTAAAGTAAATTTTACCGAAAGCGACTTCTCGTGATTCTCCTTACCTTATCCAGCTTCTCACCTGCTTCTCATTGGACTCTCCTGCTTCTCGTCCGAAGCCAGGCAACCAAATATATATCCAACTTCTACTTCTCCTTCCTGAAACTTCTCAGAATATCTCGGCTCCTCCTCTCATCTCTCACCCCGTCGCTCCTAGCCCCGACGCGGATGCGCGACACGGACACGGCGACGACGGCTGACGCGGCGGCTACAGCCCTCCTGCTCCTCCTCCCCACCCCCGCGTGTCCTCCGGCCCGGCATCACGGCTCACTGCGCGAGCCGCGGTCAGGGCGCGACAGCGCTCCCGGCCTGCGGCGTGGCTCCGCCCGTGGCCACCGGCGATGGTCGTCCTCGGCCATGACCCGGCACGACCGCCGCCACCCCTGCACTACCATGCGTCGCTTCCCCCCGGCGCTGCCTCCTCCCTTTGATCTGTGTGTGCTACTGTGCTCTAGGAAACCCTAGCTGTCCGTGCTACAGGTCGGGGCAGCACTGCATTGACCCCGCCCTGACGGTGGTGCCCTGCTCCCGCATCGACACGCTCACCGGCGACAGCAGCGGCGGCCATCCTCTGCTCAATTTCTTCCTCCTTGACCTCCCTTGGGCTTGGTACGGTAGCCTAAAAGATCTCCTTTAACTCCTTTGCCACCTTATGTCTCTAATCCCTTGATTTCACTTTCTGTATGTATGCATTATTTTTACTTACACATACAGTTTGTGTTCTGAAAAAGAAAAATCTAACCATGTCTCAAAGCTTTCTGTTACTGTTGTGAACCTTTTCAAAACATATACAAGCATATGCCATTGCTCATCATGTACGTACAAGAGCAGAGGTCACTGTCTTTTGGGTATGTCTAAATACCAAACTAATTTCTGCTCTGATGAATGTGATGTAGCCTTCTGTATGTTTTTTTAGTTTTGCTTTAATTTCCAATTATGCCTCCTATATGTTTTTTACCTGTTTAGAAACATGTGAGTTATGTTTTTAATTAAGATCCATGCTGTTGAAACTGAACATTCGTACATGTTCTCTTTCATTTTGTCAGGCAATTCTATCTCACAGGGATGATCGTCCTCTTATCTCGACCAGGTAACCGGTGATCTAATATGTTGGACTGCAAGCTTCTACATAGAGGGCAACAGTCAGCGAACAGGTAATCAACATCACAACAAACAATTTCTAAAGGTTTCACACGGCTGTCTATCGTTTCGGTGGATCTACAATCCACTGAAGATTTACTTCCGTACAGGCCCTTTCTATTTCAGGATCACGACCATATGATTTAACTATCCACTGAATTCCTTGGGACTGGTTTAGTAGCTGTTAATTAGAGAGACTAAGCAAACAAATGAAGAAGGAGAATGTTTGAGGTCAAATTTTCCATGCTTACTGTTTTTTAGGTATATACAAGATTATTAGTCATTGTTCTTAGTTAGTCGACCTTGGTTTAGTAGGCGTTATTTAATTTGATTCCATTCCTGGTAATTATAATTTGTAGGAATTATATAATTTAGCTCACAAAATGGTTTGCTAGGCAATTAGGCAGCCTATCAGACCTGTGCATTGAGGTGGACCATTACCGCGCTTATCACATCTATCTATGTAAAATATATGTTATGTCAGTTGCTAAAGATTAGATGATTGTTCAATCCTGCGCTGCATCTTTGGTTGGATAACCGACGCGCGCAAGGGCGTGTGTAATGGACTAGTATCTATTGGCCCCGTTCGGCTTGCTGAAACTTGGCTGAATTGGCTGAAAACACTGTTCTGGCTGAATTGTTGTGAGAGAAAAACACTGTTCCGACTGAAAAAACAAGCTGAATAATGCGGATTATAAGGTAAGCCGAACGGGGCCAATATGTCACAATGGTTTCAAGTTGTAATGAGCAATCCAGCCCCCTCTTGCCATTGGGCTATGCTCTGCCGCTGGGTGCACGATTGCGTGTATAGCCTACTCGAAGTGGTCTGGTGGTCTGATGATGAATGAATTGATGTAAGCATGTATGCATCGGCATACGTCTTAGCTCCGCTTCATATTTAGTTGGAGATCGAAGTTTCAAAAAGTAGCCTCACATCAATTTTGAATAATTATTAAGAGCGTCTCCAGCGGATCCAATAACAACTCCCCAATAGATTGGTAGGGTTGTCCCAATACCTTTCGGATATTGAAGGAGATAATTTTGTTGGTCACCAATAAATCTAGACTATACCTATCATTGTGTTTTTTTATTCTTTTCTTCCTCGTCTCTCCACTCGCCCCAAAACACATCTCTCTTCTTACCCGCCGCATTCTCTCTCTCTCTCTCTCTCTCTCTCTCCAGTTGAGCCGATCTTGAGGGGCAAGGGTGGCTCCTACTCGACTAGTGCATTTACTTTGGCTCCCCACACTCTTCTTGGGGCCCACTAGCCGACCCTCTTGCATCCCCTTCTCGATGATGAAGGGTGGCAATGAGCTTCAATGGCTGGTGTCACCGGTGTTTTGCTGTGCTCCAGCGGGTCTTGGAGGTGGTGGGTCCTTCTAGTCCGGTTTGAGCTTGATGATGCAGCCATAGTGTGGGTGGTCTCCATGAGTTAGTGGTCGGGTCATGGATCTTGAGCTTAGGAGGGGTGCGCCCAAGCTCTATGCTTGGCTTAGGGCAACAAGGTCAGACGTGCCCAAGATTGGGATGGGCTTCTCATGTGGTCGAGGATCTGGAGGCAAGGTCTGTTGGGGTGGCCGAGGAGGGTAGGGTCTAGAAGCAATTTGTAGCCCGCCAATGCCTGAGGGTGGTGAGACAAGCTCGGTAGAGTTCAAATTTGGTGACTATTGAGCAAGGGGAGGCTCTCTTTGGTGGCTCTTTCCCTGTTGGGCCAGTGGTTGGTGGTGCTTGAAGTTGTGCCTTAGGGAAGAGTGATGCAATTGCACATGGGCCCAAGCATCTCATGCATGCTAATGGCAAGCCTAGCGCAGATGGCAGTGGATGGTGCACGGACGATGTGGGGGTGGCGTGTCCAGCCAAACACAGGAAGGAGAAATCCGAGTAGTTTGAATTAGGGGAGTTGCATCTTCCCCTATATTTGGAGAGTTGGGTTTAGTTCTTTTTATGGTGATCACCATTGAAAAGAGATGAAAATTTTGATCTATTGTTAGAGCAACATTAAAAGGACTTGAATCTCGATTACAGATAATGTTTCGCAGAAAGGGATACATTATGCTCTGATATCACAGGATGCCCGACCTGATATTTTTTCAGGGATCACATTTTTTAACGTGATCTTCACTTCGTCTCCACGGATGATTCACTGTCCCTTTGTCTTATCACGATGTTCTTGACGAAAACTCTAACTTGTGAGTTGTGACAATCTTAAATGTCAACACCACATGTAGATGCATGGCCGTGGTGCAACATGTCACGGCCGGTCAGGACGACCACCGCTGTGCCGACGAGGCTGATGGTGACGGCGATCCCATCCCATAATATAAACCCCATGTTGACGGCGAGGCCTCTCTGGTTCGTCCAGTGCATCGGTGGCGGAACTTGTACTACGCACGTAGTCCGCCTACTAGGCCTTGTCCACCAGAAGGCGGAAACTTCTGGGCCGCGTAATCTATCAACATCTCAAGGGATGATGACCCACGCTGAAAACGATGTTGGGCTTGCACTGGACCACCAATTATTCTCTCTTTCTCGGTAAGGGCCACGAGTTCATTAGACCAATAGAAAAAAACTTTTGGTGTATATGCAGAAGAATCATTATGTAGTGGAGAGCATGGCATAATGATTCTTCTGGCTAGCGCATAATGATCCAATTATTGATTTAGCCTTTTATGCTCTCTACCACATAATGATTCTTCTATGGCTAGCGTATTACTCTAGTTGGTCGCTTGACTAGATAATAGGTTTCAAACAAGGCAGATGCTCAAAAATTAAACAGTCAACTAATAGAGCCATAAGCTTAGAGAAAATAGCAAAATGATAATTTAAATAAATAAAGGTTAAGACTCTAATCTAAACAATAAAATACTAGCAGTAGGAACAAATAAGATCCAGATAACTCTAAATAGAGCACCAATAGGAAAGATATATTAGAGAGAGAAAAATAGTACCGACTTGTATCTATCTAATTTAAAATAAATTAATTAGTTTTAAATTTTTACAGATTTAACGAATGCTTTTATTAATTTAGGTTTAGAAAATACATATATTGGCAAACCACCACTGAGACCTCACTAGAAGGAACAATGCGTAGAAACCCTCGGCCACCGTGGAACCGGCCATCAAGCAGACAGCAGTCGAGACGGGCCACGGCAAGAGCGCCGAGACCCGCCACGGCGCCGCCGCCAGGTGAACATGGCCGTGAGCAACATCGTGTAAGCCACACGCGGGGACGAACCCACGGCCGGTGATCACTGAATGGAGCAGACAACAGAGAGACACAAATCGAATTTATTGCAGGGGGACTAACGAAACAAGCAGTTCCGGCGGCACAACACACACGAGGAAACCGACGATTCTGATTGATAGGCAATGCAACAAATACGGATTCAGACAACACGAGGAAACCGACGATTCTGGAAGAACGCCCAGAACCCAGCAATACGTACCCACACCAGCACCGCAGCACGCCACGGCCGGGAGGCATGAGCGGAGCCCACCCAGGACGCCACCATCGCCGTGAGCACCGCACCACTCCCCGTCCCCTAGCTAGTGCTGCCCCTAGTCACTGGCGCGAGCCTGGGCGAATGCACGGACAAAAAGACCCATCAGGACCACAAGGACGACGGAGGACACGACCACGAACGCCGCCAAGCCCGGGTCGCGCCGGGCGTCGTAGGTGTCGAGCGCCGCGGTGCACGTCAGCACGGCGAGGCCCACTGTGGCCAGCGCGGAGTATTGCTCGCCCATGTTGATCCTGGCGCCGCCTTCCCCGCCGCGGACCTGATCGATCTCGCGGAGGCAGAGGAAGACGAGGACGCCGACAGCCAGCTGCATGATCGGCGCCACCCTCCAGGCGAACATGGCCGTGAGCAGCGTCGTCAGCGCCCACACCGTGGCCATCTCGAACTCACGGAGGCGGAGGACGAGCAGCAAGAGCGCGGCGACCGCGACGAGCACGAAGGCGACGGAGCCGGCGTCGTCCCAGGAGTTGTAGATGGCCAGCGCCTAGTTCAAGATCAGGGCGCCGAAGCCTAGCTTCGTGAGGGTGGAATACTGCGGGTCCGCCATGTGAAATACGGGAGTAGATCACACTGATTCTCTGCCGGTTAACGAGCAGCCTCAGCTAGCTAGTTCCCGACGTGGTGAGCTCCTGCATACTTGCTCTTTCGGTGAACGCGGCTAAATAAGGTCTTTGTGGATTCCTGTGTTCATTAGTCAATTATATGTGCATTGTGCTCGTAAGCCGGCCGTTTATTTCGTCAGATTATACTTGCTCAAAAGTTGACTATCAAATGGTGCCGGACTGACATTGACAACTTCTCATTGTTTCTCAGTCGGTACAGCCCGTATGTGTGCATTGTTTTTCAGATTATAATTGTAAAATATTATACACGTCGGAGAAAAAACTTAGCTTTGGTTTCTTTACAGTTCCGTTCACAGCATCGAACCAAACTAGTATATAAGACACCCGGGCCTCAGGCACGGTGCCACGCTACGAATGGACATGGACGGCGGCGGCGATGGCCGCTCCTCGCTCCTGACCATGCTAGGCCTCGGCGTCCTCATCGCCTGCAACTCTGCCGCGGCTTCTTCAGGTCCTGGGCAAGATAAAAAAATAACAGATAGCAGGCCTGTAGCGAATTAACGTCTATATAGCGGATTGCATATAGCGGTTGCTAAGTTCCAATAGCATTGTCTAATAATCCTATATAATTTAGGTGTATGTACATCTTAAAAAATAACTGGCTAACACATTAAAAAAACAATCAATTACAAATCAATGATAGACTAATAAACATATAGCTTAAGTAGTGTAAATAGATATTTAATAGTATTCGAAGAGTTGATTCTCGATCTAATATATCTTAAATTAAGAATGAATTAGCTATGTTCTAGATTTAGGCTACTATAGCAGACTGCTACGTCAAATAACGGTTACCATTGCGGTTTGCTGCGTTAAATAGCGGACGCTAAATTTCAACCCGCTATATCCAAGCTGATACGGCATAACGGTAGCGGCAGGCCGCTATACCGGCCATACAAACGCTATTTAGTACCTTAGATCCTGCCCAGTGCCCACTAGTGAACATTAATCGAACTCCACGAAATCAAACGAGAAAGTTGAAAGTTTGGAACCGGGTAAGGATAACATTATTTTTGATGCATGGTTTACCAACTGGCTCAAGACACTTGTGTTATCTCTCAGCCGCCACGGAACAATCCAGTAGAATTTTGGTGCTCGTCCGTCTAAAAAATGGAAATTTTGGAGCTCCTCATTCGGCCATACGGTATTTGTTTCCTGTTGATCATTAGCCATTAGCAAATGTTTTTCTAACCATCCAAAATATCATCATTTTTGCTATCGAATTCAAAAACCATATATCTTTGACTACTGAATTTTAGTATGAAATTTGGACAAATTTAGCCTTTTAGGTGATTTTACCTCTATATTTTCTAAATAATTAAATTTTGGTTTAATCTCTATACATTTGTAACTAGTTTATTTTAGATAATATTTTTCTAAAAATATAATTTAATTACTAGTGTTCTATTTAGAGTTATTTGGACCTTTTTTTCTCGTGTTGCTAATGTTTTATTGCTAGTTGCCACGCTAGCTATTTATTTCAATTTGTCTTGTGTTACATTTAATAGATTGGCCAAAAGATCCAACGGTCTCTGAGTCACGTGGGAGACCTTGAAGGCAACAACAATCTCGCAGATGACACGCTCCACCACACAAAATTCTTTTATGGCTAGCACATTACTTTATTTGATCGCTTGACTACGTAATACTAGGTTTCAAACAAGGTAGGGGCTCAAACATCATACAATCAACTAATAGAGGCACAAGCATAAAGAAAAAGAGCAAAATTTAATTTAAATAAAGAAAGGTTAAGACTCCAAATAATAAAACACTAGCAGCGGGAACAGATAATAAATAGATCACCAATGGAAATATATTTCAGAAAAAAATAATACCAATTAATATTTTTCTGATTAAAATAAATTAATCATGAATTTTGAGATTAAAACAAATTATTTATTATCTTTAGAAAATACATATATTGACAAATCACCATTGAAACCACACTAGAGGGTCAAATTTTCATGGTTTTTATAGTACCACGGTCTAAAAGCATCTCCATGAGTATTTGTAAAGCTCAGTCTCTAAATCATCATTTGGAGAGCCATTTGTATAAAAATTGCTTGCTATATCTTTGCTCTCTCTCCAATAGTTTTTCTATGTCTTGTGCACTCTAAAGAGTCGTTCTCGCTTTCTACCTTTGGCTAGCGAGAAATCCAAATTAAAAGATGGTCATATTTAGATAACCAAATAAAGAACTGTTCAAGAGTACTTTTTTATCAAAATCTTTATTCCTATCAATTAAAAATTATACTCTTGGAGTTGCTCTAAGATATCTGGTTTTATATTTGGTGGTTAAATAATGGTTTAGTTGTAAAAAAATGGTTTTTAGCCTAAACTCTAAAGGCCTGATACAATATAATTTTGTGATGTAAAATATGTGAAATATTGTAAGAAAATATAGATAACGCACGGAGGAACGGAAGCTGCCTAAATAAACAACAACAGAAACCGAGTTTTGTACATAATTCTGTTTTTGGTTGACTGGGTTTGGGTCTCTTACAGTGACATCATTGTGACCGGGGGGGGACGACAACATCGTGATGGCGACCGGCAGCCCCACAAAGGTTTTTTCAATCCACCCCGACGCAAAAGGGAAAATGAAAATCGTTGTACCTTGCAAGTGAACATCGTGGTGACTGGTGAGCGTTCAGGCATGCAGCATCAACGAACCACCACGGTCTGTCCTGCAGCCGCCCCTGGGAGTAGTAACCAGGGAACAAGCCAACAAGGAAAAGTGCGTACAAACCTTCAGCCACAGTGGAACATCGCCTGGGCTTATGACAAGATTTGATTCGTTAGATTAGTTATAGATTATGCACAAGTCCCACGTACAAAATCTCATCAAATAACATATTATTTGTCAAAATCTATACCTAATAATAAAAAGTCAAAATTTTCGCCGTATTTTTTTTTCTGCCTCTTCCTCCCCAAGTCTCACCGGCTCGATCTCGGTCTCGTTGCCAACAGAGATTAGGAGTAGGGAAAAGAATAAAAAGAAATATAGGGTTCCAGATGTAAAGATACTAGAGAGAAAGAAAAGGCAGAAGGGCCTTAACAGTTTTTAAAATATATTAGGGTTCCTGATGCAAAATGTCCAGATTCGAGTGGGCCTCTCCTGGTGGGTTTTTTTTTTTTACCTGGGTTGAATCCTTTGCAGTTGGGCCGGCTTCGTTGTGGGCTGAACCAAGCCTATGCAAGCCTTTTTCGTTTTCTTTCATTTTCTCTTTTTCTATTAAAACAGAGATATTGCAAAATTCGTCAAAATCGTAGAAAAATCATAAAAATGCCAAACCAGTTTTACGGCACAACTAAATATTTAATGAACCGAAAACTTCATAGATTATTATCTAATGAAATCTATACAAATGTATTTATATAATTCCTGACGAAGACTGCCGTCTGAAAATTCAAGAGAGGTCTCAATCACTAGTGGACAGACAAATCCTTAACACATTGACAAAAAAATTACGGAGGTTGATATGATGCATCAAAAAAGCTACAAAGGTCTATATTGAGTCATAGAAACAATTATGAAAAATTAAAGTTATGATATACTTATAGCTAAATAATTATGTGCTTTGCAATGAAAGGAAAAATATACCAATGTGTATTTCAAATTGATATAGGTTTAGTAAGACATTGTTATTTATTGTTAACATTAACTTATATTATGGATGTCACGGCCATCATAAAATAAATTATAAAAGGATAAAACATAAGGTGATATGTACTATTCACGTCATCGTTTTGCATGAATGTTTGATAGTTTTTTTCCTCCCGTTGCAACGCACGGGCATATTTGTTAGTTCTTTTAAAATAATATATTGATCGTTAAGCAATAGACAATATGGTGGAAGGTAGATCAATGGCAAAAATCCTATTTTTGATGACCTTATCATCGTTCTAAAAAAATACATGACCTTATCTGGAGGATTCTATTATTTGTTTACACAAGTATACGTTTAGGTAAAACGTCGCATGTCACGTGCCCGTCCCAGAAGCCGCCTTGGGCAGTCACGACGGCCATGAGCCAGACGCCCGAGGCCAGCCGGCCAGGACCGGGGACATCAGCGGCGCCATGCTCGAGTCCAGCTTTGTCAGCGCCCACACGGCGGCCTGCTACTCTTGCCCTCGGCGCCCTGCTAGCCCTGCTCGAACTCACGGTTGCAGAGGAGCACGAACGCGCGGCGTCCGCGGACGAATCAAACGGAGCCCACGTCGGCCCGCAAATTACAAACATGGTTCTTGGGCAATCGAATTTATAATTTGTTATTGCATGGGAACTGACGAAACTAGCAAATTCTGGCGGCACAACACAAAACATACGCGAGGAAACCGACGCATTCGATAGGTAGTGCAAATACGGATTATTCAGACAGCGACACAAGGCTTGAGGAAGAACGACCAGAATCCTCCGGCGGCGGTGGCGACGGCCATGAACGTCGTGTTCAACCGATGCCTGAACGAAGAGAGAGGTCCAGACATCGAAGCATACCACTGCAGGAGGCGATGCTGGAATCAAAAACATCCTACTCGGGTCATGCACATGCATCGATGCTTAATGGATAAATTACTATTTTCTTCTCAGGTGAAGGTGAGAGATATCAAAGAATCTTGTACTGATGACATGTCCCACATGAATTCAACATCGGTGCTGACACTGTGTACTCTATGGTTTTGTAAGCATCGGAAGAGGTGGCATGAGCATGATAATTTTCAGCAGCCCTGTTCGTTTGAACTTATCGTCCCGTCTTATCAGCCATAGTAGTATAGTGTTTTTCACACAACAAAACAAAGATCATTCGACTTATCAACCGCAAAAACCATCAGCCAAACAGATCATTGTGACCATAATCTCCATGCGAAGAGAGAGAGAGATAGAGAAAGAGAGGGTGATGGCGACCGGCAGCCCAACAAAGGTAAAGGAACAATGCGTCTTAGACGACTTTTTCAATCCACATCCATGCAAAAAGGAAAAATGAAAATCTGTACCTCGCAAACAGTTGCATAGCCAGGATTTTACATTAGCCCGTGTTTAGTTGCCAGGCTAAAATCCAAAAAAGTGCTACAGTACCCATTACATTGAATCTTGCGATACGTGTATGGAGCATTAAATGTAGGCGAAAAAAAACCAATTGTACAGTTTGGTTGGAAATCACGAGACGAACGTTTTGAGCCTAATTAGACCATGATTGAACACTAATTGCCAAATAAAAACGAAAGTGCTACAGTAGCCCAAAATCCAAAATTCACCCAACTAAACACCCTCTCAGGATATTTTAAAAACAATTTTCTCCAAAACAGTAAGATTTAGGAGCACTAGGCATTATAGTATACTCAATACATAGGAATACTAGGAATGCGTAAAAATACCCCTGCCGCGGATCCTGCGTGCAAGTTGCAAGCGAACAGCTAGCATGGTGACTGGTGACTGGTGAGGTGAGCAGCCGCAAAACAAAGCCAAGTCTTTTCTTCGATGTGTATAATATTTTATATATTTTGACTAATGAGGACTAGAATCCACAAAAACCTATCTGCGTTCACGATGAATTTGCGGAGAATCCAGGCCGAACATTGCGTGAAACTAAGAATGAGCACAAAATTTGCACTGCAGACAGCCGGAGACGATGTGTAATTATGTCGTGTACGGACTACGAGTGAGACTGCAAGACCCTTTATTTTTGTACTTGTACTATTGTAGTTATTATGCACAGTACTCGGTGCTTTTTCGTTCTACTGTATTCGCTGTCTGTATATAGTGTATCCTCTGTTTGTAAAAGTTTGCCAAATGTTACTCGCAAAAAAAAAAAAAGTTTGCCACATGAGCCATAAAATGAGCAGAGGGGGCCAGTTCAAATCTGTTATCGAGGGATTACCGAAGCTCCTTGTAAGAAAAACATGAGGACTGACCAGCGATGAATAGAGGTCACCGGTGAGGCGGTCGCTGTCTCCACTTGTCAGTATCTTTGATCTGTATCCTGCCCACTACTGAGCATTAATCGTACTCGTCCACGAAATCAAACGAGAAAGTTGAAAGTTCGGAACCGGGTAAAGATAGCATTATTTTTATGCATGTTTTACCAGCTGGCTCAAGACACTTGTCTTGTCTCTCGCCCGCCACGGAACAATCCAGTAGAATGTTGGTGCTCGTCCGTCTAAAATGGAAATTTTGGAGCTCCTCATTCGCCCATTCGGTATTTGTTTCCCCTGATCAGTAGCCATTAGCCAATGTCTTTTCTAACCATCCAAAATATTATCTGAGTTTAATTTTGCTATCGAACTGAATTTTAGTATGAAATTTGGACAAATTTAGCCCTTTTTTATCTGATTTTACCTCTATATTTTCTAAGTAATTAAATTTTGGTTTACTAAGTTTATTTTAGATAATATTTTTTGTAAAAATATAATATAATTACTAGTGTTCTATTTAGTGATCTTGCTGCTCACGAGTCACGACGCTGCTCACGGCCATGTTCGCCTCCAGGGTCGTCGCCCGCTGATGCCGCCGACCGTCGGCTTGTTCGTCTCACCTGATGGCGGCTGGGACCGCCGGCACCGGATTCTGGGCCTTGTTTCTCCATTGTCATTGACGTGCTGGTTTGCTCAGTGTTCATCAGAAGAATTACTGATGGCACTGTTTCTCCATCGATCATCGAGGGAATGAGCTTCGAGAGCGGGGAAGGGGACGGGGCAGGACCAAGGCGGTGGTCTGGCTGCTCACGACGCTGCTCACGGCCATGTTCGCCTCCAGGGTGGCCCCGCTGATGCCGCCGGCCGTCGGCGTCTTGGTGTACCTGATGGCGGCCGGGACCGCCGGCGCTGGATTCTGGGCCTTGTTCCTCGACTCCTGAAGCGCAGATTTCCTCGATCACCCCACGCGGAATAACTTATGCTGGCTCATGACAAAATTTGATTAATGATTAGTCAGATTATACACATGGGCAGTCACGACGGCCATGAGCCAGACGTCCGAGGCCAGCCGACCAGGACCGGGGACATCAGCGGCGCCATGCTCGAGTCCAGGCGAACATCGCCGCCCGTGAGCACTGAGGCAGCGTTGTCAGCGCCCACACGGCGGCCTGGTATTCTTGCCCTCGCCGCCCTGCTCGCCCTGCTCGAACTCACGGAGGCAGAGGTGCACGAACGCGGCGTCCGCGGACGAATCAAACGGAGCCCGCAAATTACAAACATGGTTCTTGGTCAATCGAATTTATAATTTATTATTGCAAGGGAACTGACGGAACAAGCAAATTCCGGCCGCACAACACAAAACATACGCGAGGAAACCGACGCATTCGATACGTAATGCAGATACGGATTATTCAGACAGCGACACAAGGTTTGAGGAAGAACGACTAGAATCCTCCGCGGCGGTGGCGACGGCCATGAACCACACCAGCTCGGACTTGGAGCCATCAGTAGGGGCACCCAGCACCCTGCCCTGCCCGTGCTCGCCAGCGTGACCGCGAGCGAATGCACGGAGGAAAAGGCCAATCAGGATCACAAGGATCGCGTAGGACACGAGCATGAACGCCGCTGAGCCCGGGTCACGCCGGGTGTCGTAGACGTGGGCGTTCGGAGGGTATAGATGGGCACTGTAGCACGGCGGATTTTGAACGATTAAATAGTATTCTGTGTGAGAGAATAAGCTAATCAAGCTGGAACGGACATGACCAGCCGAACGCCCTGGACCGCCGAGTTGCACGTCAGCATGGCGAAACCCACCTTCGCAAGCGCGCAATACTGCAGGTCCATGTTGATTCCGTCGCCACCTTCCCCGCCGCGGACCTGATTGACGTCCCGGAGGCAGATGAAGACGAGGACGCCGACGGCCGGCGGCATCAGCGGCGCCACCCTGGACGCGAACATGGCCGTCAGCAGCGTCGTGAGCGCCCACGCCGCGGCCTTGATCCTGTCGTCTCTACCCCTGCCAACGCCCCTCTCGAACTCACGGAGGCAGAGGAACAGCAGCACCAGCGCGGCGTCCGCGAGCAGCACGAATCCCACGGACCTGGGGTCGCCCCAGGAGGTGTAGATGGCGAGGCCCGAGTTGAATGCCAGGACGCCGAAGCCCAGGCTGGTTAGACACGACCGTTGCCTCTCCATTGTCAACTCTCGCGTCGTGAACTACCTTTTTTGGTCACGAAGCAACGGCAAAACGATTGTGACACTCACACGACCAGACCGCGTACATCGTCCGTACTCCGCTCCAACGGCTAACTCTACAACGGTGCACGTACCCCAGTTGTTTCGCGTCGCATTACTGAGTTTGAATTTTTGGGCCAAAGAATTTATTACAAACATTTGTACTATATATATGTAGGTTGAGAGTTACTCCAATGTCGCATCCTCGAATAATAAAAGAAAAGAAAAGTACTCATGCTGTGGATTCTGAACAAGCGGGTGACAGTTTGCATCGCAAGTCAATCTTTGTGCGGAACATGGATGGATTTGAACGCCCTGCCCTAGTGCCCTCCGATATGCTCAAGAGCCCAAAAATTCACAGACATGTCGGTTGCCCTTTCCTCGGTCTGGTCTTTCGATCGATCGACATCTTGGCATCCACAAGACGTGCATGCATGATCGAATGAATGCCCCTGGGCGATATAGCGGTGGTAATAATTAATTAAACAAACCCATGCCGATGGTAGTCCTCTCGCGCTCAGGCATGTCGCTGTCCGAAGAGAAGAAACCACACGACCAATCCATTCCAACCTCCTGACGCTCCGGAAATGATCCTACCTGCACCAGAGTGTATTTCCACTCTCATTTCGGCCCGCAACTTGGGAGCGGGCTTAGTCATGCCTGACTCATTTTCTATTTTATTTTCTCCACAACGACTGACTCAGTTTTATTTATGACTTATGTACCGTACCTTCCTCCAGAGGAGAGGCCGCTGAAGTGAAGCTAACCATTTTTAAATATTTGCTACTATCTAGGACTGCGTAATTAGTTTAAAATAAAATAAACTAATTAGCTTATTCTTGCTACAGTATGCAAGATGTCACAATTCCATTTCTTTTGCGGCTAACTTTTCATGTTTTGATTGATTTGAAGTTGGATTAGGGATAACATTGAACTAGGTCTGTTATACAATTCGATTCTGGGAACGTAGGCGATGATAAAACTCCAATATGCTGCCCAGAACAAATCATTGAGATGAGTCATGTGTACAATTAAGAAAGCGAAGCATGTGCTGTGCGTCTCATATGAAGCAAAGAACAAAAGAGAAACCATCGCAAACAGAAAGGGCAAACCTTGTGGACAAGATCGCAAAACCGTCACGGATTCAGGAAGAACGCCCAGAACCCACCGGCCGTCGTGGCCACCGCCATGACCCAGACCACCGCGCCCACGGCCGGCGGCATCACCGGCGCCACCCTGGACGCGAACATGGCCGTGAGCAGTGTCGTGAGTGCCCACACCGCGGCTTTGATCTTGGCGTCCTCCCTGCCCCTGCCGCCGTCCTGCTCGAACTCACGGAGGCAGAGCAAGAGGAGCACGAGCGCGGCGTCCGCGAGCAGCACCAAGGAGACGGAGGTCGCGTCACCCCAGGAGTTGTAGATGGCGAGCACCGAGTTGCACGCCAGGACGCCGAAGCCCAGCTTGGTTAGGCCGGAGAAATGTTGATCCATGCGATTTGCTTGATTTCGGTTTGCCAGGGGCAGGAAAGAACCAAGGTGGTTGTTCGTGGTATGGCAGCTCAAACTAAAAGCATACTATAGACAGGATTAGCAATGGGAGAACGTTGGTGTTATCACTTATCAACATATATCACCTGAAATTTTTGTATTTTGGTCTCTTTTGAAAACAATTTTTACAAAAATACCCACACCAAAACATTTTCTGAAAATAGACCATTTTTAGACGTCTTAGAACATGACGTCGAGGTATGGGGGTCGGCGTCGAGTGATACGACGCCGAGGTATTGCCACGTCACGGACGACCGGGGTCGTCGGCGACACGGTGGCGCGTGGGGTCCCAGACGTCGGCGTCGTGTCATCCAACGCCAAGAGCCCAACCTCGGCGCGGCTGGACGGCGCGCCGAGCTATTGGCACCATCCGGAGCGTGGCCCAGGCAGCCCAACAACGCACGGTGGCCCAGTAGCTCGGCGTTGGGTCACTTAACGCCGAGCCTCCAGACCTCGGCGCGGCCCGACTCAACGCCGAGGTCTGGTCACTTAAGGCCGCGCCGAGGCCCCCTTCTTCTTCCTCCCTCCATTCTGAAGACGGCCTGCCCCCAAATCCTCCACGGCCCCCACGAAACTCTAACCCCCAAAATCGACCCTAGGTGCCCGGATCTTGTCTCCCGAAGCTTTCTCGAGGTAATGGTCCCTCCCCTCCTCCAATCTATCCGCGTAGATATGCTTGTATTGTCCCTAATCATGTGGAATCATGGGTGTCCACTGTTTTGGTATATTTGTGTTTGCATTTGCAAAATATATGGCTTAGGATGATTGAGTGCATTGTTGTTTAACTGTTTTATGTGCTGAATATGTTAGGTTAGTTTGGTTTCTAGTTATTTTGGTCATTAGGGTTCTTTGTTTATTGTAGGTGTCATTAGGGTTAGTTATTTGTTGGTCATTAGGGTTAGTATGTATTTTATTTATTTGTTGGCCATTACATTTCAATTTTCTATGATCAAGGCGTTTTGCCAAGGTACTCACCTTTTCCCTCTTTCATTTCATCCATTTAGATTCGGTTGTTTTTGAACTTGGCATTATAGGTTTGGTTCATATTCATGTCATTCGTGCAATGTATGGTGGTTCAAATGATTGAATGACCTAAATGTATGGTTGTTGTTGTTGTATATGTTCTGGTTTATAATCATTGAGTTAAATTTTGTGTTTGTTGGAATTCAAATTTGCTTAGGGTTTGTAATGAAAAGCTTATTTGGGAGGTATGGTGATTTAGTGTTAGTAGCTTTACATTCGTTGCAAGGTACTTTGGATTGATTTTTTTTCTACGTAATGTTAGGATGCCAAGACGTGGTAAAGCTCGTATTCCAAGGTAATCCCAATGTTTATTCATTATTTGTGCAACAAATAGAAAACCCTAGGTTTAGGTTTGGTTCTCCGTTAATATGACTAAATTCTTTTAATTGTAGCTATGGTCGTCAGAGGGCAAATCCCTACGACCTAAAGCCTGTCCCTGAAGGTGTTCCTCGACCAATGTGCTTTTGTGGTGATCCTTGCAAGGTAGACATCTCTGAAGATGAGAAAACATATAGACAGAGGTACTGGATGTGTCCCAATTATGCATGGGAACCTACAAAGCAACAGCGTCGTGCATCGTTTGTGAGGAATTTTTATTGTGTGTTACTTAATTTTCTTGTGATATTAAGTATTGCTTATTTGTTTGTTTTGTAATAATTTGTTTTTCTTGCAGACCGTTCCACCCCTGTGTGACTTTGAGCAGTGGATTGACACTGAGATCAAGGAGTCGGACAAGCAGCATCTAGAAGACCTGAAGGAGTGGGATGCCGAGGTTAAGGAGAGGTTTGAGCAGAGACGCAGACAGGAGGCTATAGAAAAGGAGCATAAGGAAGAGGAGGAAAGGAGACATGTTGCTGCGTACAGGGTGGAGAGGGAGAAGAAGCTTGAGCGTGTGCGCCGAGCGAAGGCAGCGATGGAGGAGAATCCCGATGCCCAGAGAAAGGAAAAGTGGCCTCGTTGCACTCAGTAGGTATTTGGTTTATTCACGAGCGATGTCGTGTAGCCCTGGACTTTTTTTACTATGTTGTAATGCACTCTGCTTTTATTTCAGATGAACTTATTCCGTGAAATTTTTTTTATTATGTTGTAATGCACTATGCTTTTATTTCAGATGGTCTTATGCCCTGTACTTCGTTAACTATCCTAAGACTATAGTGCTACTGTTTGTATCACTGAAAAGGCTACTTGTGCTGTTGCAGTCACTGAAAGGGCTACAAGTACTGTTGCAGTCAACGGAAAGTCTATTTGAAAACTCACTGAAAAGCCTAGATTCGTTTACTGTTGTATCCGTATACGTAGTGAATTAATATCAGAGTGATGTACTGCATTTAGATGAAGTGACAAAACACATGTGTAGCCTTTTCAGATGAAATGACCGGTCATGGTTGTAGGCTTTTCAGATGAAGCATCTAGCCTTTGTAGATTTAATAAATGAGTATGCACACAAGTTTTTTGTCAAGTAGCATTCATGGTGAACCTGCCTTCATCTCTATATATAGTGGTCCATGTCTTGCTCCACATCCACACAACTTGTTTTCTGGTTTAGTTTTAGGAAATGTCGAGCGGAGGTTCCTCGAGTGGAAAGGGTTTCGGCGGAGGGAGAGGAAAGGGGGTGAGGAAGGGACCTCCGATTGTGTGGGAGGGTTCTCTGGGTCCTGATTCTTTTGAAGAACCAATAGAGGAATTTCCTTTGGAGAGGAAGAGTGACTTCACCCGTGAGAGACCTCTTAGATCATACGACAAGCGTATTGAAGATTGGCCAAAATGCCGCCACGGTTTGGATTGCGTTGTGCAGATGTACAACGACTGTGACGGTGGAGGCCGTCGTTTCTTCGTGATGCCCATGAGGATTTGTATTTCCTTTGAACTCTCTCCTTTTTAGATTTGCATTTGGTTTCTAGTAGTACTTATTGGTAGATGGGTTTTCGAGATTCAAGTCATCCCGTATAATCGTGGCTTCACTAGATGGGTCGACCCTCCTCCTATCTATCCCCATCAACAGTACATCACATATCTACAGGGACGCATCTTTGACCTAGAGTATGGCCCTGGAAGTGGTAACAGGGACAAGTCGGACGACGACAATAGCAATGATGCAGAGGAGGCACTATGCAATAATCCATACTGCGAGTGCCCGTACCATAAGAAGGACGGGCCTCCTTCTCCACCGCCACCGCCACCGCCACCGCCTCCGTCAACTGGAGGATACTATGGGGAAGGCGCAACTCAGTTCAATATGTGGGAGCATTATTATGACCAACCTTTGTTAGTCAATCCGAATGTGGAATGCTTATGTATGAGTTGTTCTTTTCAATCTCCTAAGGCATGCAAATAGGATTGCAAACCAAAGGTTTACAAGGTCTTATTAGTATAACTCGTGTTAGTACAAGAGGAATCGTTGAGAAAGATTTTTCATTTGAATCATGCAAATAGGATTGCAAACCAAAGGTTTACAAGGTCTTTAATACTTTATTCTTTCTATTTTATGATTAATAGGCTCAGCGTCAAGTCGGACAACGCCGAGATAGAAGGCTCAGCGTTGAGTCGGCCCACGCCAACCCTAGGGTTTGGCTCGGTCGTTTGCGAGTTGGGCTGAGGCTCGACGTCGAGTCGGCCCACGCCAACCCTAGGGTTTGGCTCGGCCGTTTGCGGGCTGAGGCTCGGCGTCGAGTTGGCCCACGCCAACCCTAGGGATCACAACGGCCGGCATGAGGTTTGGGCCGAAACTCGGCGCTTAGTCGGCCCACGCCGAGTTTAACGGCTCGGCGTCAATTTACGGCACGCCGAGGTTGGGCATCTCGGCGCTTCGAGGCAAAGGAATCCAGTATGCACCAGACGTCGGCGTCAAATGACTAAACGCCGAGGTTGGGCACCTCGGCGCTTCGAGGCAAAGGAATCCAGTATGCACCAGACGTCGGCGTCAAATGACTAAACACCGAGGTGCCCACACTCGGCGTGTGTTCAATTGACGCCGAGATCCTAGGTGTTCTCTTCTTTGATTTGCTTCACTATTGCCCACTACTCTAATCAGCCGACGATGACCTTGTGCCAACAACGGACCTAAGCTCGCTAGCTCCCCGACTCTCCTAAGCCGCTTCGTCCCCTTTACGTGCTTGCCATGTCACTGTGGATCCAACAGAGGTTGATCGTAACATGTAGGATGGGGATGATGACACCCCTTCTTTCTTGTGAGTTGCGACGAAGGCCCTCTCTTGATAGCTGGAAACATGAAACATGGTGACGTTCCACATTTGGGGAATATCGTTATGAGGACAATCACATTTTCATTTCAGAAATAAAGTATAGCTTATCTTAAATTAAATATCGTGGTGGATACGCCGAGCTTGGGGTTCACCAAAAAACACAATACACAGAATACACAGAATTTCACATAACAAATGACCACACCGACATACACATTCATTCAACATCCATACATACATAAGGTCCAACACATTCAACATCCAACATAGTCCATACATATGCTTCATCAATCAACCAACATAGTCCAAACATAGTACAAGGTCCATACATAGTGCATTACATAAGGTCCAATGCATACATAGTCCATGCACAAAATGTAGCATATGAAGTCTTTGGATCTTTTATCGCTCCTTGTACCTTAACGTGGACGGCGAGCGTAACGCTTTCCCCTCCCAAACGGATAGGTACCTGGAGTGTACTGTCCATCGGTCTCGAAGCGCCCTCTCGTGGACGCTCGTAACCGGAAGGGCCTTGAGTTCCTTGGGGTGCATCTCCAAGCTGGGACACGCCAATCTCATCATACTCATGATCATAGTACTCTCCCTGTCCTTCATCATCTTCATCATCATAATGACCATGTCCTTGACCACCCTCTACACTAGTTGCTGCACCATGTGAAGAAGAAGTCCTGCCACCATGTGCACCATGTGAAGATG